ATCTCTTTCATATAGTGAATTAGATCTGGCTGGACTAGCTGCCATGATTTTTTCCCTTGGAGTTTCCCACATAAGAATCCCTATGATCGCTTTGCTTTTTACTACTTTTACTTTATATGCTTGATTTGATAGTTATCGTTGTAATTTGATCTTTAAAATATTGAAATTTTAGTTAAAATTTTAAAACTACTTAAAATAGTTATTCAAACTACCAAGACCTATTCAACCCCCTCTAGGTCTAGATTTAGATCTCGAGCCTTCACGCCTTGCGCTAACTCTACATCAGAAACTAAGTGAAGTGCATCAAAAGCTTCCCCGTACATATGAACTACACATGAATCTATCCTATGCTAAGAGGGGCAAGGAAAGCTAAAGTTAAAAGAGTTTTTTTTTTTTTTTTTTTAAGTATTCACACAGTTTTGCCCACGCCCGGGCTCAAACCCCTCCCCTCCCCTTTAAGGATGGGGAGGTTATACCATTGAGCTAGAGGCCCTTTTAAAATTTTAGAATTTTCTTACATCTGTTAGGAATAAAAAAATGAATTATTTTTGTAATATTTCCTTCTAATTAAGGTTAGGTTTGCATATAAATAAGGTCTCCCGTCTTGCAAATTTGTTGAACTTTTTTATACAATCTTTAATTATCAACAAAAAAAAAAACTATTGTGTACTTCCTTCATTCGGGTGTGCCTATATGGTGCTGTATTTCAACAATGAATTGAGATTATTACTTCTTCCCCAATTCTTGCTCTTCTCTACTCTCAATCAATCTAGCCTATCTATTCACTCTATTTTCTCATCCCAGTCATATGTTTCTCTCCACTTTTTTTAGTCTCACCACTCATCTTCTCATTCTCATCCCCTTCTTTCATTCTAGTTCTAGCACTAATCACTACCTTCAACTATTGTCGAAGCGAGATTCTACACGACTAGGAACGAAACCGTTTCCTTGCAACAAAGAGGTGAACCTTGACCGACACCGGTGTGGTGCCTACCAAGAGCTCTTCAACGATCAAGTTAGTTACCGGAGCTCTCAAGTAAAAGCTGGAAGTTAATGTATTAATTCCCTCCTCCTTGTTTGTTGATCAGACTTGTTCTTATAAATGGTGATCCTCAAGTTTGTTATGACCTATTGGGGGTTCAAGGAGACTTGTTGGGATTTGAGTAGATTTGTTGAGATTGGAGGAGATTCCTCCGTACTTTGAATTTGAACTTTGTAACCTAATCCCAATCTTTAATTTAATTTTTAAACTGTTCAACAGGACAGTTAACTTACCTTACCATATTTGTTTGGACTTTGGACAATCCTATTTCAAATTATCCTTATCAGTTGCTCCTTATTCTCGAGCTTGCTTGTCAAGCATTGGGAATGTCAAAAACGGTTTTTTTTTTTTTTTTTTTTTTTTTTTTTTTTTTTTTTTTTTTTTCGAGTCGAGTTGTTTTTAATCCAAGCTAAAGCTTGTATTATTGCTTTCATCTTATCCCTTTAACAACGGAAGTAGTTGTATTCAGCTAATCCTTTAATAAGGAGTAGGTATTCCGAGCTTCGCGCAACTCGTCCTTTTAATAAGGGAAGTATAATTTGTCAAGCTTTACTTAGCTCACCCTTTAATAAAGAAAGCATTTTTTACGAGTTTCACTCAGCTCGCACTTTAATAAGATAAGTATATTTTACGAACTTCACTCAGCTCTCCTTTTAATAAGCGAAGTATATTTTACAAGCTTCACTCAACTCTCCCTTTAATAAGGGTAATATATTTTAGGAGCTTCACTCAGCTCGCCCTTTAATAAGGAAAGTATATTTCACCGAGCTCCATGAGCTCCCCTTTAAATAAGGAAGTAGGATTTCCGAAGCTTCATGAGCATGCCCTGTAATAAGAGAGGAAATTCAAGAGTTTCACTAAGCTCGCCCTTTAAAAAGGGAGTAGTTGTGTTTGAGGATGTCCTAGTGATGCGAACTGTAAATTATTAAATGTCAAAGTCTCTATCCTCTTCCTTGTAATTGAGGACCAATTATGTTTGTCCTTCAAAGGCCATGGGTTGGAGTGTCAACTTCTTCGGCGTTGTCTCGAAATATTAAAAATTGGAAAAAAATATCCTTAGTGAATGGCCTTATATGCTAGCAACCTGCCCAATACATGATTTCCATTTATACATTCGCGTATTTCTCCCAAAATATAATCAAATCCTCTCTGATCTTGGAGGTCGAGACCTACCAGGACTTGGTGGTCGAGACCTACCTAGTCTTGGAGGTCAAGACCAACTTGATCTTGGAAGTCAAGACCAATCTAGTCTTGGAGGTCAAGACATACTTGGTCTTGGTGGGAGACCTACATGGTCATAGTGGTAGAAACCTACTTCGTTATAGATGATCTTGGTGTGAGACCTACATAGTCTTGGTGAGAGACCTACCTAGTCTTGGTGCGAGACCTGGCTTGCCTTGGTAAGAGACCCAGCTTGGCCTTGGTGGGGGACCTACCGGCCTTTATGATTGACCTTGCTTGGCCTTAGTGGGAGAACTGTATGCCATTGGTGGGGACCTGCCTTGCTTTGGTGGGACTTAGGAGACCCTTTTGCCTTGGTGGAGACCTGCCTACCTTGGTGGGAAACATTGTCTAGCCAGGGTGGGAGACCTGCCTAGCCCTGGTGGGGGACCTACCTTGCCTTGGTGGGAGACCCTGCCTGGCCTTACCTTGGTGAGAGACACTACCTAGCCTTGGTAAGAGACCTTGCCTGGCCTTGGTGGAAGACTCGCTGGCCTTGGTGAGAAACCTTGCCTGGCCTTAGTGGAAGACCCGCTGGCATTGCTTATCCTTGGTGGTAGACCATGCCTTGCCTTGGTGGGAGACCAACCTAGCCTTGGTAGGAGACATTGCTTGGCCTTGGTGGGAGACCCAGCTTAGCGTTACTAAAAGACCTGCCTTGGGAGAACCTACCTTGCCTTAGTGGGAGAGCCAGCTCGGACGTGTTAAGAGACCCGCCTGCCTTGGTGGGAGACCTTGCCTAGCCTTGGTGGGGGACTGCCTTGCGTTGGAGGGAGACACTGCCTGGCCTTGGTGGGAGTACCTAGCATTGATGAAAGACCTGCCAACGTTGGTGAGAGACATATCCTGCCTTTGGCGGGAGACCCGCGGGCCTTGGTGAGAGACCTTGCCTTTGTGAGGCTCACAGTGGGTAAGCCCTTTCCATTTGCCACAGTGACGCTCGATGTGAGTGAAGCCTTGCCAAAGGCTGAATGTGGGTGAGCCTTGCGAGTGCGAGGCTCGATATGAATGAGCCCTTGCCAGAGGCTCAATGTGGGTAAGCCTTGCCAATGTGAGGCTCGATGTGGGTGACCCCTTGCTAGACGCTTGATGTGGGTGAGCCCTTGCCATTGCAAGGCTCGATTTGAGTAAGCCCTTGTTAAAGGCTTGATGTGGGTGAGCCTTGCTAGTGCGAGGCTCGATCTGTATAAGCCCTTGTTAGAGGCTTGATGTGGGGGAGCCTTGCCAGGGCAAGGCTCGATTTAGATAAGCCTAGTGTGAGGCTCGATATGGGTGAGCCCTTGCCAATGTAAGGCTCGATGCTTAAGTCTTCCCCCGGCATTCAGATCGGATCGCGTCAGAACCCTAATTTGTTTAGAAAATTAGTATACGTTCCTACAGACAGCACCAGCTGTTAAAGCGAGATTCTGCACAACACCGATCCCTACAACAAAGAGGTGAACCTTAACCGACACTAGCGTGGTGCCTGTCAAGAGCTCTTTAGCGATCAAGTCAGTTACTTGAGCAAGGAAAAGCCAAAATTCAATGTATTAATTGTCTCCTCCCTGTTTGTTCATCAGACTCTATCTTATAGATGGTGATCCTCCCGTTAGTTACGGTCTATTGGGGGTTTAAGGAGACTTGTTGGGATTTGAGTATATTTGTTGAGATTGGAGAAGATTCCTCAACTTTATATATATATATATATATTTATAAGTCTTTAGTTGCTTGTTATATTATGACCCAAACGTTACTCAACTTTAAATATTATACATTCATTACACATTAATTACGTGATTTTAGATATTTTGATTTCACATATTAGGAGAAAGAGAATAAACTCATTTTTTAGGGTGGTTGGTCGATGACGATAAGGGTTGCTTGTGAAGTTAATCAACACAAGGTAAGGGAAGTACTCTCGATGATGGAACTAAATCAAGATTTGTGTTTATTTGTTCTTATTGTATGTATTGTTTGGATCATATGAATTGTATTGTCTAAATATGTTTGTTTTGTATTTGTCTAAATATGTTTGTGTGTGTTCGTACATGTATAACAGGATGAAAATAGGAAGAGTGTAAGTCCTTCAGTGGAAAGAATTATTCCGGAATTTTAGTTGGGGTCAGCGGTCTGCCAGAGATTTCATTTAGTAAAAAAACACATCTTGACCTATTGGGCGTTTGTGTGTGGGTGTCGTGTATCTCATTAACAGTGTGCACACAAATGCAGTATATATTATGGTGTGTGTATAGGTTGTACATTGAATTACAGAATAAATTGACATGCATTCTTTGTGACAAAGTAACAAGGAATATGTATGAGTGAAAAGAAAATTAGAGAAATTTGCACTCAGATAGGATAAAATAATTGAATTAATGTCAAAAATTGTGTCTCTATAGATTTTGTTATCACTGCCTTTAAACTCTCTGTACCGTCACCGCACTGACACTCACTACCACACAAGCACCAACTCTCCAAGTAACAATGAACCGAAACCCTCACACAACCCATACCATCAGTTTCAACCATCCAAACCCTAACCTCGCCGCTGCCTCATCCTCACGGAAACTCCATTAACTCCGTCCAACCCTGCCACCACCCAAGCAACACCCAAGCGAAACCCATCAACACGACAAAATCTAGCCAAACATAACTGTTTCAAGGCAACATAAAAAAAAAAAAAAAAAAAAAAAAAGGCCCACTGCGGCCAGAAGAAAAAAAGAGAAAAAGGAGGAGAAGACAACGACAGAAGGAGTACCTGCGATTTTCGCCGGAGCATGTCGCTATCTTCAATTCCGTCGCTCACCATCATCGCGTCACCATCTCAACCGACGTTAACACCAAGGCTGCGTTCCCCGACCACGCCGTCAGACGCCACCGCTCTCTTGCCGCTCAAAGTTTCGCTGTTTCAAGCCCTGGGGGTTTCATCGCCCAAGTTTCTCGTTTCGGGAAAGGAAAATAAAAGGCGGTTTGTTTCAATATAAACATGCCAGGCCAGACCCAGTTCAAAAGGTTAGCCCGATCAAGATTGCCCCGTCCATCCCATACTCAAGCCACTAACAAGTTATAACGGGTGGGTACTTACTCATTTATCCAAAAGCTCAAATTATTGAGAAATGTTTCATACCCACCCATTTATACTCAATCACTTTCCCAACCGATTTCAATGTGCGACAAATGACCCTTATTACATTCTCCCCCACTTAAACTCGCAACGCTCTCGTTGCGGCTCAGGCCACCTTGCCTACCCGGGGTGTTCGCTCGGATGCCTTTTGAGTTGAGCGCTTAGCGTGACACTGGATCAAGGATTGGATCTGACTCTGATACCAACTAAAACGGGTGGGCGCTTGTCCATTTACCCAAAAGCTCGAACTATTGGGTAGTGTTGCATACCCACCCATTTATACCCAATCACTTTCCCATCCGATTCTGATGTGAGACAAATGACCCTCGTTATACCAATCCATACTCAACCTCTTAACACGGTTACACGACACTCAGTAACTTTAGGCAGCATTTAAAGCCCGTATAGCCTGACTCAGCAACCACCAAAAAATAAAATAAAAAATGTAATTAGAATCGGCCAAATTTTGTAGGGCAAAAAAAAAAAAGTTGCATTATTATAAAAGTAAAAGAAATATAATGAAGGGCAAAAGAGAACTACAAACAACGAAGAGAGAGGAAGCTGTTATGTTTCAATTCTTTTCATTCAAGTACATGTAATACAACATTATTCCTATTTATAAGAGATGATACTGACTAAGGCAGTCATATGCACCAATTATATTTGGTTCCTTTATCAATACAATTTTAGGAGCCATCATTACCTTTTCAAGTTGCCTTCCAATTTATATATTCACAATCCAAATGCATATGTATTGACAATGCATTAATAATGTTTTTGGGAGCCATCATTACCTTTTCAAGTTGCCTTCCAATTTGTATATTCACAATCCAAATGCATATGTACTGACAATACATTAATGATGTGGAGCCTACATATTGTAACACTCCTCCTTAGGTTCCACAATGCTACACTAAGAACATGTCTCATTAAAACCTTGTCAGGAAAACTTATTCGAACAAAACCTGAGCGAAGAAAAAAGAGTACAATATTTTTATGTGTCTGAAAATAGTATTGCATGGGTTAGAACCGCCTCATTAAAACCTTGCCAGAAAAATCCATTGGGACAAAACCTGAGTGAAGGAAAAAGAGTATAATAAATGTCAATGCCTTTTTAAGTACTCCCCCTCATCAGTGCCAGAGATCTTTAAGTTGTCGCATTCCAATGTTGTGTACCAATTTCTTGAACGCCGTGGTTGGCAGTGCCTTAGTGAACACGTCTACTAAATTTTCACATGAACGTATTTGCTGACTATCAATTTCACCATTCACCATTCTTTTGGCATTCATGTGCACAAAATAATTTTGGTGAGCTGTGTTTGGTCCTGTCACTTTTGATATAACCCTCTTTCATTTGTGTAATGCATGCAACATTGTCTTCATATAATATTGTGGGGCTATCTGTTATTGATGATAAGCCACTTGTTGATCTAATGTGTTAGATTATGGATCGTAACCAAATGCATTCCCTGTTGACCTCATTAATTGCGAGTATCTCAAAATGATTTGAAGAAGTGGCAATCATTGTATGTTTCATAGAGCACCATGAGATAGCAGTACCACCATAAGTAAACACATACCCTGTTGTTAATCAAGCTTGATATGGGTTAGAGAGATAACCAGTATATGCATATCCAATTAACTGAGATTTTAAATCTTTTGAATAAAACAATCACATATCAATTGTTCTACGAAGATATCTCAATATGTGTTTGAAAAATGTTTCTTGCTTTTTCAAGAATACATATACGATTGATTTTTGCAAATGTATTTTTTGGAAAATTATGCTCTCCGATTAACTGGGCAAGTTTGAGAAAACATTTTATATGAGTTAAAGAAAAATCTTTTTCCCAGTCAATTGTGAAACATGTTTGGATGCAAACCGTTTTGAGCTCTTCAGTCATGGCTGTTTGTTCAGCAATGATTGAAGTAAGATTACTCAGGTGTTGCCTGAATTTCTTATTGCCCAATATTCTTTTGCTATTGAACATATTAAAGGCACTAACAATTTTCTTGCAGATTTCTTGAGCAGAAATTATACTGAAGTATCTAACAAAGATATTTCTTTTTTTCACAGATGAGTGATCGAGGTAAACAACCTCAAAAAGATGGTTGGGTTACAATAGCTAAAAAGGCTCAACAACCTAAGTTGGTGGTGTTCGAATTCAGTGTCTTCTGTAAGCTTGAGAAGCCAGATTTGGTATGGAGACCAGAATATCATCGATATAGATGACAACAAATTTTTTAAGGTCATTAAAGATCTTATCCATCCATCGTTGATAGATTTGAGATGCAGTATTGAGACCGAATGGCATTACAGTCCACTAATAATGACCTCATGGTGTACTGAAAGCAGTTAATGGCTAGGATTTTTTCCTTAATTTTATTTGCCAAAAACCTGCTTTGCAATCAAACTTGCTGAAGATTTTTGCTCCGCGAGTTTGATTTATAAGAACATCTTTTCGAGGGATGAAATAACCATCGAAAATTAAATGTTCATTAAGCCGCTTATAGTTGATTACCGATAATCGATAGTGGTATTGCTGCTGAATTGTTCAATAATTCTTTTGGAAAAAAAATTTGAACTTAGAAGTCTTGTATAGATCTTCTGTTTTCAGTTTCTGGAGTTTAGCAAACTGAATGAGTTGTTCGTTTGTAAACTGGACTTTTTCGCTAATAACATTACTGAGTTTAATGTTAGAGGATTCTTCTTCAGGATGAAAGGTGAATTGAAGTATGTGTACTTCTTCATCATCATTACTGGAATCTGATTCACTGGACATTTCGTAAAGAATATCTTTGGAATCAAAGAGGTCGTTACCGTAAACGACACAGAGATTTTCTGCGACAATCCTTTTGACCATCTTAAAAGTGCCTTTGCCTTTGTTCGGGCAAATGATCAAGGCCATGATCTACAAAACAACTTCTCACTGGAAATTCAGTTGCAACCTGACATTTTGGATCTCCAGTTCCATTGGATGGCGCGAAAGTTAAGTGTACCGTTGAAATAAGTATACTTTCGTTTTTTCCCTTGTGAAGGAGTAAGAAGGATTTCATCTTTTCCATGTTGGAAATGGAAAAACTTTGCTGATTGCATCGTGTTGAATGAGTTGTTCGTTCGTAAACTGGACTGCTTTGCCAATAACATTACTGAGTTTAAACCAAATGAACAGAATTATATTATTTATGAAAAAGAACTTCTGGCTATTAAATTGGCAATAAAACATTTTCCCCCAAGGCGATCTAATGCTCAACCTTCTGATCCATTATTCAAACAAAGGTTTACTCGAGCGGAAAAAGGAAAGGACCCTCTCATTCATGATGCCCCTATCCTTCCAGGATTTACTCATACGATGCAATCAACAAAGTTTTTCCATTTCCAACACGGAAAAGATGAAATCATTCTTGCTCCTTCACAAGGGAAAAAGCGAAAGTATACTTATGTCAACGGTATACTTAACTTTAAAGGTTATAAACCCTATAGCCTTTGTGTTCTCATCGATATGGGAGCAACCACCAGCTGTTGTAGATACAACGGCATACTAACAGATAAATGGCGTCAGATGAAACACCCCATTGGCGTACAAGGTATTGATGCGGAAGCACCGCATACTGTTATCCAGTTCAAAGCCAAAGATATCGCTATTTGGCTTAATGACAAAAAATTTATAATTCCAAAATTACTATGTTTTCCATTTATGCATGATGATTTTATTTTAGAATGCAATTTCATCTATTCCTATCTTCCTTTACAGTTAAAAGAAAAAACTATTTCTTTAACTTTAAAAGATAATACAGTTATTGAAATTCTTATTCAAGAAAATCTCGCTTCTGTATGTGACGGTAATTTTTCTCCACCAAGACGAGAAAATACTGACATTTTTGTCTTAAATGAAAACCATTGGTTATATACTATATTAAGACAAATTTTTACTGAAAAACCTTTAAATCTCTGGAAACGAAGCCCTCGTTTTTGCAGATTACAACTTAAGGATACTAATGTCATCATTCGAGTAAAACCCATGATATATCTTAGAAAAGATATAGATGAGTTTGATGACCAGCTTCAGGACCTTCTTGAGAAAAAGCTCATTGAAAGGACCAAAAGCCCTCACAGTAGCCCTGCTTTTATGGTAAGAAACCACAGTGAGGTTAAAAGAGGAAAAGCCCGTATGGTAATCAACTATAAGCGGCTTAACGACCATTTAATTTTCGATGGTTATTTCATCCCTCGAAAAGATGTTCTTATAAATCAAACTCGCGGAGCAAAAATCTTCAGCAAGTTTGATTACAAAGCAGGTTTTTGGCAAATAAAATTAAGGAAAAAATCCAAGCCATTAACTGCTTTCAGTACACCACGAGGTCATTATTAGTGGACTGTAATGCCATTCGGTCTCAATATTGCACCTCAAATCTATCAATGATGGATAGATAATATCTTAAATGACCTTAAAAATTTTGTTGTCATCTATATCGATGATATTCTGGTCTTTTCTAAAATAAGGGAAGAACACAAACAACACTTACAACTTATTTCTGATAAACTCAAAAAGCATGGGATTATTTTATCGCCCACCAAGATAGAAGTTGAACAGGAATCTATCGATTTCCTAGGCCTAGTTTTAACCCAAAAAGGGATAAAACTACAGGATCACATTATTATCAAAATTCGTGATTTTCCTGATGAAATTCAAGATAAAAAGCAACTTCAAAGTTTTCTCGGTATCTTGAATTATGGCCACAACTTTATTAAAGGTTTGTCTCAAAAAGAGCTCCCTTTAATAAAGAAATTGACAAAAGATAAAGTCTTTGAATGGACTGAAGAGGACAAAAACGTTGTCCAACAAATCAAACGCGATCTTGTCCATATCCTTGAAGTTTATTTTCCCTAAAATGGTGATAAACTTATCCTTGAAACTGATGCCTCAGATTTCTGTTGGGTTGTTTTTTAAAAGCCATTCCACAAGAAAAAATGGAATGAAACTATTTTTATAAATCATCAGATAAGAGCTCGCAAAACTCCTATCTCAAAAAAGCTTCAAAAAGAAGAATTGATTTGTGGTTATAATTCTGGAAAATTTAAACCAAATGAACAGAATTATATTATTTATGAAAAAGAACTTCTGGCTATTAAATTGGCAATAAAACGTTTTTCTATTTATCTTGCTCCAGAAGATTTTATTATCCGTACTGATAATTAAGCAATAAAGAACTTCCTTATAAATAAGAAAAATTGTTTAGAAGGAAGACGATTAAAATGGTATAATGTTATTACCCAATATTCTTTTGCTATTGAACATATTAAAGGCACTAACAATTTTCTTACAGATTTCTTGAGCATAAATTATACTGAAGTATCTAACAAAGATATTTCTTTTTTTCACAGATGAGTGATCGAGGTAAGCAACCTCAAAAAGATGGTTGGGTTACAATAGCTAAAAAGGCTCAACAACCTAAACCAACTCCATCACAACCACAAAAATGGTTTGTGGTCTTTGCAGGTTTCGAACCCGGAATCTATTGAAAATGGCACGATTGTCATGCCCAGCTAAAAAATTTTAATGGGTCATGCTTTAAAGCTTATGACACACTTGAAGAAGCCCAAACAACTTTCTACAATGTGGGTAAAGCTTCACAAAGAGTTTTTGCTAATTTTGCAAAATGACAGGAAACAATAGAAGTAAAAGATTTCTATAATCCTGGTCTTCCATACCATATTTATGATGAAATTAATAATGTATGGAAGATGCATAAATTAGAATGCAATAAGAAATTCAGGCAACACCTGAGTAATCTTACTTCAATCATTGTTGAACAAACAACCATGACTGAAGAGCTCAAAATGCTTTGCATCCAAATGTGTCTCACAATTGACTGGGAAAAAGATTTTTCTTTAACTCATATAAATTGTTTTCTCAAACTTGCCCAGTTAGTTGGAAAGTATAATTTTCCAAAAATACATTTGCAAAAATCAATCGTATATGTATTCTTGAAAAAGCAAGAAACATTTTCCCTCCTGAATTGTTTAGAATAGTCCTCTCCAAAATAGTGGACCATCCTACAACAATAAAGAATTTTTATCTTGAAAATCATGAAGAAATAAACAAATTCGACATGATTTACAACGGGAAACACATCCCAAAAATGACTCTTTTCATTGTTCCCAGTTTTGACTGGTCAATGGAACCTATCGATTGGGGAGTAATTAAAAAAATTACTTTCTCCTCACATGATTGTCTATCATGGAAACATTTCCTAGCAATGATCAAGGCCATGATCTACAAAACAACTTCTCACTGGAAATTCAGCCGCAACCTGACATTTTGGATCTTCAGTTCCATTGGATGGCGCGAAAAAACAAAATTTTTCAAGCCATACCAAATCCGGCTTCTCAAGCTTACAGAAGACACTAAATTCGAACACCACCAAATTTTGAATTCAGAATAGATCACAGAAAGGGTCAACTCATTTGATCTTGCAGTTCATAGTCTTATCCACCTTCAAGACAAAGCTCGGCGAGTTATGAATAATAATTCTGATGATTCTCTCGAGCCTCCTTATAAACAGATTTGTGACGGAAGAAGACTTTTTGTCACCTCTCTAATTATGGACTATCCCTCCTATTCAGCAGAACATCTCAGAACAGCTGTCGAATTTTTTAAAAAAATTCAATGCAATACCTTGGATGCTCCAGATGAAATCCGTCTTGGGGCTGAACAAATCAACATTGACTGGGATATGGCCCATGCCAAAGGCCCAGACGACAGTCCTCCTCTTGATGAGTATGAACTCCATAATCTTATTAATGCTATAGAAGGATGACTTTCTGACAAGCACCTATACTGATCGACTACACACAATCCAACACACGACAAAAGCGCTGTCACATCTACTATTCATCAACAGTGAAAGTAGCTGACACACTATTCATCAACAATGAAAGTTGCCGACATCTACTTTTCGGAACAGTAGAAAGCAAGATTCGATCTTATCCGATCAACTGTTTCTACTTTTCTTTTTCTATTTAAAACCTGAGCTGAACCAAGCATTCGACATCTGAAGTTTACATTCTCTTTGGTAGTTTTCTCTCTCCCCTTTGTAAAACATTCTCTGTTTTTATATTTTCCGCGCTTGTGTTGTAATTGGTATCAGAGCTTGAACACCGATCTTGGACTCCATTGTAAGTATTTAACAGTTCTACTATAGTCCTGTATTATTGTGTTTTGTTTACTGTTATAAATCTCATACACTTGATTACTGTTTAAAGCCCATATTATCCTGCTATAGCTGTTTATGTCTGTGTGACTGTCAAAAGCTTTTAAACAGGATTCTCTGGTTTTAGGCACCTTAACAGGAATCAAAAGGTCTTAAGAACCATTAACTGTTTCTCATGGCACAATCTACCTCTGTAGGATGTATCTGTAATATAGTGGGTAAAGACCCTAATAAATATAGTCATATACCACACTATCTAACTTCAGATCCGCTCAATCTTAACCAGATTGGTGCCGATATGAACTTTTTAATTGACATGGTTAATGAATGGAAAGATACATTCCAGATTAATCTGGAATCAACAAATTCTCAAATGGAAACATCATTTAATGATTTGCAACAAGGAGTAATTTCCTTGAACGATAAACTTGATACTCTAACACAGATTATCCAGCTATCTGACAATCAGGATCTCAAATATCAGATTCACCAAATGACTATCGATTTAGAAAAACTTAAAAAAGTAAAGTTATCTGATTTTTATCCTCCTGATCCAAAATTAGATCCTCTAGATCCTAAAGTAGATAAACACCCTACTTCTGCTCCGAGAATAAAGGTAAAAAACCTTTACTATGGAACTGAGGATATCAAGGTAATTCATGATAAACCATCATTGAGTTACAATAAATAAGAATTTGACAACATTGTCGATTATATTAATTGTCTACGACAGATGTATGTCAGTCTTCAACTATCTATTGATAAAAGCAACCATATCATCAATCAGATATGAGAAATTTCTCTACAAAATAAAGATCTCCTTATACACTTCGGATATCAACTAAATATCTCCGATAGTGATACTGAATTAGAAGAACAAATCAATGTTCTCTCTGATCAATCTGATGTTGAAGAATTTAACGGTTCTGCCGACTCAGAATCTGTTGACGAAGAAATTCAAGCTGAACCACAGCCAGAGTCATCTTTTTACAATAGAAAAAAGTGAGTATCAGATACTATTTTAGATGAATCATTTTACGGTGAATTTCCTTTAACAAAGCAGATGCTCCCAGCTGAGGAAACAAATATTCCAACCTCCGGCACACTTGCCGAATCTTCCACCAAAGCCGAAGGTAAACAACCTTCTGTCTCATATAATTATGAGTATATGATATCCTATGTTCGCCCGTAAAGATGATCTCAACAAGTATCCTATTTCTCAAAATGGTACTTATCTTGATCTTACTCACGTCTCGTACAAAGATCATCTCAAGAACATCAACGAGTGGGCACAATCTCTAGCGATTCTCGTTAATAACCAAAAATCCATTTGGAAAAGAGATCGTTTCCTCCATTGCAGTAACCCTGTAAGGTGATGCTCTTGACTGGCTCCGTTAATGGGATCAAACCACCCAGGGCAAGCGAGAGAAAAATGAGATTCTTAACAACTTTGACGACCTCGACGGTGTCTTACGCGGGTTTGTTAAAATCCTAAAAGAAGAACTCGTTGGTTATACAGGAAAACAACTCCTTTCTGATGAGCAAATTTTGCTCTTTCCAAAATAGAACTATGCGATATTTGTCGTTTTCTCGAGTACATCAAAATGTTTACTAAATATTTTCGACGTCTTCCAATCACTAGTATTGACCATTGGTTACCCTAATTCTTTGTTAAACTTCCAAGTCCTTGGGACGAATTAGCTATAAAAGGCTACCCAAACTTTCTTACGTGAATCAACCGAACCAATAACCTCGACTTTCGCACCAACTACATCTATAGGCTCATAAACAAAAAATGTTTAGAAGCCAAGGCTAAGAAGCAGGTCAAAAATCAAATCAGCAATACACCAGCTGGATAACGCTGTTGCAATAAGATTTTACAGGAAACCTGGAAAATCGGTTGTGCTCCAAGTAGGTCCCTTCCTCAACGTAAGAAACGCTTTAAGTGGCGTAAGTGGAAGAAAGGCAAAAAGCCTATTCAGAAGAAAAAGAAGTATATCAAACCAAATACTTCTAAATCTAAATCCAACAAAAAAGGCATAACATTTTCTAAAAAGAAAGATTGTAAATGCTACATCTGCAATGAGCCTGGTCATATAGCCCCAAATTGTCCGAACAAAGGTAAATGCGCTTCTAAGATAGTCAAAAGGATTGTCGCATAAGATCTCTGTGGCGTTTACGGTAACGACCTCTCTGATTCCGAAGATATTCTTTACGAAATGTCCAGTGAATCAGATTCCAGCAATGATGATGAAGAAGTACACATGCTTCAATTCACCTCTCATCCTGAAGAAGAATCCTCTAACATTAAACTCAGTAATGTTATTGGCGAAGAAGTCCAGTTTACGAACGAACAGCTCATTCAGTTCGCTAAACTCCAGAAATTGAAAACAGAAGATCTATACAATACTTCTAAGTTCAAAAAATTTTCCAAAAGAATTATTGAACAATTCAGCGGCAATACCACTATCGATTATCTCTCAAATGGTATATCTTCTTTCAACATCCTCAACAAGGACAAAGTTGACCGATGGAGGACCCAACATCCTCTTGCCCGTTATATTCATATAGGAATGGTTCAAATCAAGATCACTTCCCTATTTCGCAAAGGAACTGATCAACCCATTCTTGTTCTTGTTATGGATTACCGATTCCATAACCCAATTGACGCTTTAATCGGCGGAGTTCAATCCAATCTTGTTAACAATGTTATTTGGTTCAAACTCACCCCAAATTACTTTGTCTCCATCACTGATCCAAACATTGAAAAAGTTTTGAAAGTCAAACTCAAACTTTCCAATCTTCAGATGGATCATGACTTTCCAGGTTTAGGAATCCAGTGGAAAGTTCTTTATGAGCTTACCCGTGAACCTGAAACCTCTACAAGACCAGTTGACCCCAAAATGGTCACCCTGTTCGAGCTATGGCCCTTCGATTCAATAATTGAACCAAAATTATTGAAATGGACAGATTTCGAAATACCACGAAATTGGTTATTCGAAGGCATTAATGAAGAAAAGAAACTGCGAATAAAGGAACCAACCGTTACCACTATTCAAGCCTCTGGTTCAAATCTCTATATCACAAATATAGGAAACCCCAGCTTCTAAGATCAGCCTCAGCACGACAACCTCGTGAACAAACTGGTTGGGATAAACTCCTTCCCCCAAGGCGATCTAATGCTCAACCTTCTGATCCATTATTTAGACGAAGGTTTACTTGAGCGGAAAAAGGAAAGGACCCTCTCATTCATGATTCAATAATTGAACCAAAATTATTGAAATGGACAGATCTCGAAATACCATGAAATTATTTATTCGAAGGCATTGATGAAGAAAAGAAACTGTGAATGGAGGAACCAACTGTTACCACTATTCAAGCTTCTGGTTCGAATCTCTATATCACAAATACAGAGAAACCCCAGCTTTTAAGATCAGCCTCAGCACGACAACCTCGTGAACAAACTGGTTGGGATAAACTCCTTCCCCCAAGGCGATCTAATGCTCAACCTTCTGATCTATTATTTAGACGAAGGTTTACTCGAGCGGAAAAAGGAAAGGACCCTCTCATTCATGATGCCCCTATCCTTCCAGGATCTACTCACACGATGTAATCAACAAAGTTTTTCCATTTCCAACACAAAAAAGATGAAATCCTTCTTGCTCCTTCATAAGGGAAAAAGCGAAAGTATACTTATGTCAACGGTATACTTAACTTTAAAGGTTATAAACCCTATAGCCTTTGTGTTCTCATCAATACGGGAGTAATCACCAGCTGCTGTAGATATAACGCCATACCAATAGATAAATGGCATCAGATGAAACACCCCATTGGTGTACAAGGTATTGATGCGGAAGCACCGCATACTGTTATCCAGTTCAAAGCCAAAGATATCGCTATTTGGCTTAATGACAAAAAAATTATAATTCCAAAATTACTATGTTTTCCATTTATGCATGGTGATTTTATTTTAGGATGCAATTTCTTCTATTCCTATCTTCCTTTACAATTAAAAGAAAAAACTATTTCTTTAACTTTAAAAGATAATACAGTTGTTGAAATTCGTATTCAAGAAAATCTCGCTTCTGTATGTTACGGTAATTTTTCTCCACCAAAACGAGAAAATACTGATATTTTTGTCTTAAATGAAAACCATTGGTTATATACTATATTAAGACAAAAATTTTCTGAAAATCCTTTAAATCTCGGAAACGAAGCCCTCGTTTTTGCAGGTTATAGCTTAAGGATACTAATGTCATCATTCGAGTAAAATCCATGATATATCTCAGAAAAGATATAGAAGAGTTTGATGACCAGCTTCAGGACATTCTTGAGAAAAAGTTCATTGAAAGGACCAAAAGCCCTCATGTTTGACTCCATTCCAATGTCTACGGGTTGATGTAGAACTGTATGTTGCTAATAAGTTGACTGAAAAAACAATGTCAGGTTGTGTGTAATTTGTAAGATATATAAGAGCACAAATTGCACTAAGATATAGTACTTCCGGACCAAGAAGTTCCTCATCATCTTCTGGAGGTCAAAAAGGATCTTTCTTAATATCAAATGATCGGACAACTATTAGTGAGCTCGAGGGAAATGCTTTATCCGTATAAAAATGCTTCAGAATCTTCTCTGTATATGTTGACTGGTGGATATGGATTCCTCTTGATAAATGTTCAATTTGCAGTCCCAGACAAATATAAGTGGCAGTCTTTAGGAGTTCTTTAGAGGTTCCCACAAGATTCAAATCATCAACATATACTGCAATAATAGCAAAACCAGATTCTGTTTTGTTAATAAAAATACATGGACAAAGATGACTATTTATATACCCTTTCTTTTATTAAATCCTCGCTGAGGCGATTATACCACATGCGCCCAAATTGCTTTAATCCATACAAGGATCGTTGTAATTTTATTGAGTACATATTATGTGGTTTTGTTTCTGGCATTTTGAAACCATCAGGAATCTTCATGTAAATATCAGTAGCTAGTGATCCATATAAGTATGCCGTTACTACGTTCATTAGATGCATATGCAATCTTTTTGTGATTGCCAAATGTATTATGAATCTAAAAGTATTTGCATCCATTATCGGAGAGTATGTTTCATCATAATCAATACTAGGTCTCTGTGAGAAACCTTGAGCTACTAGTCGAGTTTTATATCTCACAATTTTATTTTTTCTCATTACATTTATGTACAAATACTTATTTGTATCCAACTAGCTCAACACCCTTGAGTGTTTTGTGACACCCCTCGATTCTAGAGCCACAGGTGATCAAGTCTGAGCACAGATCCGAGGGATATCAAACAATTAATATTTAAACAAGCATTTGAATACAAAAAGAATAATAAAGGAATAAATAAATAATAAGTTGAAGGGAACTAAATAATAAATCCTTATTTTAAAAAAATCCTTAAATAAATAATAATTAAAAATCCCATAATAAAATCCTCCAATCTTCGGATACTGATAATTAATTAAACTACAACTCGGGAATCCATACTGGGGACCTCTAATAATACCCTAACTGAAATAACTAAACTGAAATAAAACTAATAAGTAAAACATGAAGAAGAGTCCTACGTAAAGTTGGAAGAGTGAATGATTGTCTCTACTCGGCATGAACAATCTCTAAAACTGGACTTAACGAACACCTAAAAAATAATGGTGGGTCAGACCCACAAACAAGTTCTAATCTACTACATCCCAAACAGAGACCCGATACACATACACATCCTAATTAATTCAACAATAACTAAATAGTCCATATATAGATATATCCACACTAAAAGAATCTCACTAGACTATAGAGTTGTCTCAACCTGAATAGTAGGTAACATGCAAAATGCACATATAGTTGGCATGAGTACATAGACATACTAGGGTACACAACTGCACTATATCTAGTTACACATCCCTGACAATATACGCACCCTAACCACTGATCCTGAGACTCAAACTCATATCATGTCATATAATTCTATATGTAAAATCTGTCCTATCCAACCATCAAAATAAACTATCCAATTATTATTTCAATAATATGTCATCCAACTATTCCGTTGACCTGACACAAATAAGTAGGACTTAACATTATAGTTAATCCGTTTCTTTATTAAAAATAGATAGGACTTAACTCTTAAGTTAATCCGTCCCTAATATGCCCCCATCCCATAATGGTGCATTAATCCATATCATAACCAAATAAAAGTTTCAAATCTAAGGATAATGAAAATAATATTTACATCTAATAATCCAAATAAATATGATATAAATCATATACACATCCTTTGTATTTACTTGAGCAAAAATATCAATTCTAAGTAACATGCATTTAATTTCCATCACAAGAAATTAACATGCATCTCAACTAAATTGTACATCTCCATTCTGATTAAATTAATTTAAATCTAAACAATTGATTAAAATAATTTAATCCAACAATATTTAATCAATTTATCCTTTTTAAAATTTATTAAATTTCATACTTAGCATGTAAACTTAAATCATGCATTCCAATTCTTAATGAATCTATTTAAATTAAATAAATATTTAATTCAGATCCATCAATTAAAATAACAAAGATTAATTTAAAATTCCAACACTAATCAGATTCACATACAAATCTATTTAAGGCAAAAATAATCAAATCAAATGGAAGAAACAAACATACACAGACAATTTAAAAAAAAGTTATTTAAATAATTAATTAAATCCCATTATATCAATGATTTTTTCTTCCTTTCTCGTTTAGCGTGCATGATGGCAAAATACCAATTTTGATTTAATTTATACCAATTTAGCCTTTTGGAGCCTTCCTGGTTCGGCGTGCCTACCTATGAAGTATCACAATTGTTTTTTTCAATTTTATTTTAGATATTATATACAAAGATACAAATTACAAACTGATGCAAACCAAACCAAATATTAACAAAAAAAACGGCCTTTGACTTTTGTTTTGCCTTCCTCGTTCAGCGTGCCCATATGTCCCATATAAACATGTAAACTGATTCATGCCAACTAATTCATGCGAATTGATAAATGCTAATTTCTTTATTATTATTATTATTATTATTATTATTTTTCTTTCACCATTGTTAATTATTCTATGAACCAATCTATGTTCTAGGATTATCCCAATAGTAATTAATCATTATATAAACACACCTTGAATATCATAACCACAACATATGTATTATTATTTTTTTTTTATCAAGATATCAAAATTCATTATAATCCATTATTAAAACACATGAACTGAAATTTCCAAATCAACTCATGTAATTAGATCCAATTAATTTATTTCAAAAACCTAGAATTAATCTACCATGCATAGGGTATGAATCAAAGGAGAAGAGAAGAATTAAAACTTATCTTTAGGGATTTAATAAAAAACCCTAACTTCCTTCTTCATTTTTCTCTTACTTCGTCTTCCTTCTTTCTCTCTTTAAAATATATTACGTGATTATTTTCTAGTCTCTTTTCCTAACATATAGCTATGTATTTATAGGCTAAATAAAATAACCTAATCATTTTCCCAATCCAAGTTAACTTAACAGAGAAAAAAAAAATTAAAATATTAAAAAGATAACTGAAATATATGTTACGTATAATCTATGTATATTGTCTTTTTATATATAATATATAAATATATATCAAATTATTACTAAAGGACTTTCCTTATATATATATATATTTATTTATTTATTATATATACATATACAACTATCCATGGGTAATTATCTGTACCAATTAAACCCCTTATCCAAGTAGTCCATGGGACCCAATTAGTTAGTCCATTACTACTATCCATATCTAATTCCTTAAAAAATATAAAAATAAAAATAAAACAAAAAAATTAAATTCCTAAACAAATAAACATCATCACACACAATTTTATTTAAATAAATAAATCGAATACACGTTTTAGAACACAAGTTTATTTAAACAAATAATTCAATTAACACATAAATAATTAAATCAATTAAACAAGTAAACAATTAGCCAAGAAATCAAATAAATAATTAAAATGCAATTAAAATAATTAAAATAATACCGAGATTATCCTTTTAAAATTAGGGGTATTACATGTTTTGATGACT